TATGAGAAGCCCTGTTCTCCAAAGGATTTCCTTTGAGGATGATGCCAAGGCTCCAATTGTGCCTGAGCAGCTGAAAATGGAAAAGAAAAAAAAAAAGGAAAACAGTATTATTTTACAATTGTTAGTATTCAAAAGAAAATTTCAGTGTGCCTGGCAAGCCAAACAAAGCTACAGATGTCTCCCCTTTCTCACACACACCCTGAATGAACCCTTTCTGAACTGATGATGAGAATAGGAGACTCTGATCTTACTTGCATGTGGAATAACAGGTGCCCCCTTTGAGAAGCAATCCGCAGCAGTGTTGGCAAAAGAAAGTTGCATCTTCAAAAACAGGGTGATTCAAAGGTGAGTTTCTGTGTAGGTTCACTTCTCTGTGCTGACTTTCTGCAGAGGTATTTGCTTTCTACATGGGAAACATTAAAATTGGGAACATGTTACAAATTCCCCAGGAATTTGTGTTGAAGCTTTGCTGAAGAGAGGAGTGAACTTGGGACACACTGAGTAGATACTAACTTCTCAATACCTAGTGAGATCCGTTAAATTGCTGAACACAGAAAGTGAGTTTTTTTTTGTTTTTATGTTTGTTTGTTTGTTTTTTATGTAATGATTCATTTTCAGTTGAAAACGAGAACCCGAGGATGCAGTTTTAAGTATGAATATACAGTGGGTGCACTTGGAAATACTTTGAAAAAATTATATACTACTTCTTTATTACTGTGATTAAGATTTATTGATATAATAATGTCTTTCAGATGCCATTTTTTTCATAAAATTTATTAGAATGTGAATAAGTAACTCAAGAGCATGTGTATACCCCTAACCTTTACAGTAGAATGATCCTCAAAACTTGTGTCTTAAAAATGCCAAGAGAGGGACCAGCAGATGGTGTAATGGCTATGTCACTGGCCTCCCATGTAGTCGACAGCAGTTTGAGTTCTGGACCCGGTGGTTTAAACTCATGCCAGGCTCGTGCATACCCAAAATCCCGAGAGGAGAATGGAAGAGAAGATATTATGGTGTGGCCATCCCCCCTGGGGGGGGGTGATTTCTCACTTTCTGTCTTTCTCTCCCTTTATGGTGAGCACACATGTCCTATACCAAAAACATCTCAAAAAACAAAAAAATGCAGAGAGAAAGTAGCATTTCTTTATAAAAACACTTCTCTATCCTCAACTTGCAGAAAATTTTCTCAAACCTGTGATAGATATTTTAAAAGCAATCTCAAAACATGGGTGTAGCCCAGTGACATGGCTGGATCCCACATGGCTGACATCATGATTCAAGACCCGGACCAGACATCTTGAAAGTCATGCCAGGCACATGGGCACGTGTGCCCACAATCCTGAGAGGGGAATGGAGAAGGGATTGTGGCTTGGCCTTCCCTCCTGGTGGTCATCCCCCCAGGGGTGATTTCTCAGCTTTCCTCTTCCGCTCTCTTTCTCTGTCTCTCTGGTGAGCACACACACCAAAACTAAAAAACAAATGGGACTGTCATTGATCCAAATGCAAGATGACAAGGCCTATACTAAGGCAGTAATCAAAGAAATAGAAGAATCTAGATTCAAGAACTATAAAAAGTCAGCAACTCAAGGATTGAATAATTATGGAGTGGGAGAGAGAGGGAGGAGCCAGGAGACTTACTGGCATGAGCTCACATAAACGGAATCTTAAATAATGATAATAATAATGTGCTAGACGGCTATACCATTTTCCTTCCTAGCACTTTCATTTTATTAGCCTTGAGTTCTTTCCGATAAAAACTAAATTGCTATAGCTCTAAAAAAAACTTTTAATTGCCAGACAGCATATATATTCACCAGAAAGAGAGAAACAGAGAGGGAGAAAGTCCCCCATCCTAGCGGGGCATGGTCACACTGCAGTCCGTCCTTCTCCATTTCTCTATCGTATTAGGATTTGGGGCACGTGTGCACATGCGCCCGGTGTGTTTTTCAAGATCTGGGGCTGGAATTCTGCCAGGGAGAATCCAGCTCCCTTAACCATGAGGCTACTGGGACAGCCCAGTAGCTCTAAAATTTTACTCCCAAGTACGTGTGGGATTGCTATTAACTGCCCTACTGAAACTTGACATTAACACTTGGTGTACTTTTTTGATGATGTGCTCATTTATTTTTGTTGGTATGGCAGCAGGTATTTCAGTCTAATTGTAAATCGTAGGGGCTGTCATTGTGCATAGAGGGATGACTGACATGAAGCTGATGTGTTTTTTTAAGCCAAGTCCATTGGTTAGGATGCCTACTAAGTGCAAGGTAGATGAATTCTTATAGGTATGGAACCTGTTTCTTGCTAAGGCATTTCACTCCTGAAGTTAAAAGAGTGAATACAGACTCGGCATAGGCCCATCTCATGTTCACAGCTGCCTGCATGCAAGATAGCAAGCCATTGGACTGAAGTTGTTCCTCTATTTTTCATTTTATTTTATTATTACTTTTTTTAGAGATTTTTTTGCCTTAGGGCACATGCGCTCACCAGAGAGAGAGACAGAGACATGAGAGAGGAAGTAAGAAATTACCCCCCCTGTGGGGGGATGGCCATGCCTCAATCCCTTCTCCTCCATTCTCCTTCTGGGATCTTGGGCACGCACACACACACACACTCGTCATACTTTTAAAGCCACGGGTGCAGGACTTGAACTGCGGTCGGCCATGTGGGAGTCCAGTGATGTAAATCACTATGCAATCTGCTGGCCCTTATTGTTATGTTTTTAGCACCAGAGAGTGTGTGCACACATGAGAGAGAGAGAAACTCTCCCCCACCCCCGTCTCTGCCCCGGGCCTGGTCATACCACGATACTTTGTCCTCCAGTTCTCCATGCAGTCAGGATCCTGAATATGCATACATGCCCAGCATGTGTTTTTAATCCAACAGAGCTGGGACTCAAACCCTGATCAACATAAACAATTTGGCTTCTTTTGCACAGTGCCTAACCATTGTGCCAGGGGGCTGACCCTTTTCCTTTACCCAGTTCTATTTTTCCCCTTCATTAGAGTACTTATGGGTCTGTGAAACTTTTTCTGGTGGTTTTTCTCAGAGCTGGGGACTTTCTGATCATTATTGTAACTCAGATCAAGAGATGTTGGAGATTAGCCCCCTGTAAGCAAGACATGCCGCTTTGGTTTAGATTTCCTAACTAAAGAAAGCTGATTTGTTGGAAGCATGATGGAATGGTTTCTTTCAAGGAAGGAAGAAGAGAATATTCTCCTGGGATTCTGTGTCAGCTTTGGACATGTCGATGGTCAGAGAATAATCCCCTTTGAACAAGAAGAGGAGTTTGTCTTTTCTATCTTTCCTGGGCAAAGTATCCCTAAGAAAGGCTCTAATGTCTGGGCCCGGATCTGCTGTGTACATCTTTTCTTTTGATCTGCTTAAAGTGTGTGTGTGTGGGGGGAGAACGGCGTGGGGTTTTTAGTGGGAAAGTAGGAGTCATATAAAATATGAAGGTTGGATGGAAGCTTATGGTGTGGAGACTGTCTCATACCAGCTTATGAGAGTCAGTGGCTACACTTTCAGGAATTGTGAGGGCCAGTTGTAAAATAGAGCTGTTATTAACATTAAATGACACGAACTTATAATTAAATGCAATGTGTTAAAAAAAATGAAGATAATAAATACTCAAGATCCCTCACTTCTTAACTATTTTACTACACTTTATTAGTCTTTACACTTTGGAGGTTATTTATATCTGTCGTGTCTGCGTGTTGGAAGTGCTGTCAGTGTTGTCATGACAGTAGCTTAAAATCAGCCATGGCGAAGGTGTCTTGAGTACAGTGAGACGATTTATGGTAAGAGTGGCAGCCAGCCGACATCAATGAGAAGTCTTGTTCTTCAAAGGATTTCCTTTGAGGGTGATGCCAAGGCACCAGCAATGCTACACATCAGGGCTTTTTCCTTCCACAGAGCAGTTGTTAAACATTCACCAGGACCCCACTGGGTGCAGCCCATCCATTTTGTATATGAGACCAGGGCATGGACATGAGCAGAGACTTGTCCAAAGTCCTGCAGTAACCAGCAAGGCCAGGACTAGACTTGGGTCTCCAGTGCCATATAACTTGGTACCTATCTTCCTTCCTTCCTTCCTTTCTTCCTTTCTTTTCTTTCTCTTCTTTCTTTCTTCTTAATTGCCCAGAAGGTGTTTGTACTTGCCAGAGAGACAGGGAAGGAGAAAGAAAGCACAGCCCCCAATGGGGTATGGTCACACTGCAGTCCCTTTTCTTCCATTTCTCCATGCTATTGGGATTTGGGGATCAGTGTGTTTTCAAGCCACTGGGACCAGTGTTGGAACCACAGCCAGCCATATAGGATCTGGCTCCATTAATCACTAGGACTCTGGGCTTGCCCAGTGCCTGTCTTTCTGTTACATGACACAGAGGTCTCTGTCCTGAAAGGCACAAGGGACAGAGGTCAGGTTTGGCTGTGAGCATTTATCTCCAGAGCTTTTCTATTATTGGTGAAAGCACTATAGGGACTTGAGTCATACACAAATGGAGGGAAATATGGAAGTCAAATTCAGTCATCAGATGGGGGGTCGTTTGCTCTCTGGTGATTAGCAAGGGGACAAGTGGCAAGGAAGCAGAGACCAGGCTCTATCCCTAATGTGAGGTGGTCTTATTATTGAATGGGAGTATGAATAAAGAATGAATGACAACACTTACCACTGCCTGATAGTACGGTATATATGTATTTGCTGCTTTAATTTGTATCTGTCCCATTTGGATGGAAGGACACACAAGGACAGGGATCTCGTCTTGAGTGCTGCTACACACTCAGCTCTAGGAACGGTGCCCCGCACATAGAAAGTGCTCAATAAATACTTTCAAATGAATGCATGAATCAGTCTTGCCACTCCTTGGTATTATGCAACACCAATTCCCTAGGGGAAGTTTTGCCCAGAGGGACATGCTAGTGGAATCTAACCTTGGGGACCCTCTGACCCCGCATCTAGTGTCAAGACGCTCAGTAACCACCATTTCTCTTCCCTTTAGATGACGGAGGGCCGACGATGCCAGGTCCATCTTCTTGATGACAGGAAGCTGGAACTCCTAGTACAGGTAAAGCACTTTCTGTCAACTAAACTTCTTCAGAGTCTAATGTGGTTCATGCTTCAATTCATCTGGGGTTGGAGGGGGGTACTGTGAACTGTTTTTAAGTCTCTAAAATTAATCTGTGAGAGAACGACTAGCCCACACCAGGGTGTTTTGTGGGTATGCTATTTTTGTCCATGCTGTATCTGTGTGCACCATGCCCAAGGCATTCAAGGCCAGATGTATATCTAACCTATTGTTGCAAAGCTCTAGAAAAGGAAATTCCACGACTGCTATGAGCTATTCTTTCTGCTTGGAAAGAGTTAACTATAATATAACCTAAATAACTCTTGCTGTAACTAAAACTGATTTAGTCATTGCAGTTCCAAGGGGATAGAAAAATAGTCCCTGCTTTTCAAGGTAAGCTTTTATAGTCATGAAAAGAGGGAAACCATCTCTGGTTTTGAGCTCTCTTAAGGGTTCAGTCGCCCCCTTCATAGCCCATCCATGGGTCGATCTTGCCATCACAGTTGCATTTTGAAGAAATGGAGATACAAGAAATTTAACCAATTTATCTCCAACTAAGAACACATTGGTGTCAAAAAAAAAAAAAAAAAAAAAAGTCGAAGAAACAGAATTACAGTACTTGGTCTTGTTTTATTTGCTCTTGAAAAGTTCACTGTTTTACCCGGAGCCTTAAAAAACAGTGACGTTTTCAAATCTGAACGTAAGAGCCTATAATTCCAAATCTGTTGTTCAATGACAACCTTTATAAATACATTTGGTTGGCATTCTGCAATGCCTCTCATCCTCCACCTCCTTTTGCCATAAAGAAGCTACAGTTCTTCGGTGGTTGAAATGATGCCCACAAGCTCATTTATGGGGAAATGGTTCATTTCATTGGGGAGAGCCACAGGTAGACAATTGTCATGTGTTGCTTTGTGCGTGCTACTTGGGTTTGAAAAATATTCAAATTGCTAACTTTAAGATGCATTAAATAGGAGTTAAATTATAAAGGCATTATAAATGCAATCTAGGACATAGGAAAAATCTCATAATTTTACAGACAGTCAATTTTACAGAGACAGTCCCTAACTTATGATGGTTTTACTTAGAATTTTTTGACTTTGCAGTGGTGGGAAAAAGATGTGCATTCAGTAGAAACGATACTTTCAGTACCCACTCTTTATTTTTCTGTCAATAAAACATTCAATTAATCGTGTGAGAGGCTTTTTGTTAGATGATTTTGTCCAACTGTAGGCTAATGTATGTGATCTGAGCACATTTTAGGTGGGCTAGACTAAGCTATGATAAGTGGGTTGATTGTAGTAAATGCATGTCTTTGAAAGTTTATTTCTGGACCAGCCTGTGGCATGGTGGTTAAGGCAGCTGGATCCATGTGGCTGACCATGCAGTTTGAGTCTTGTCCCTGGCGACTTGAGATACATACCAGGCACATGTGTGTGCATGTCCAGAATCCTGAAACGAGAGAGAAATGGAGGAGAAGGGATTACAGCTTGCCTATTCCCCATGTAGGCCGCTTTCTTATTTTCTCTCTGTCTCTCTCTGTCTCTCTCTCTCTGGCAAGCACTTGGTCCTTTGTGGGGGGTGGGGGGAAGCGGGGAGAGGTTTATTTCTTTCATGGAAGTGAGAGAAAAAGACCAACTCCCTCAACAGAATCCCATACTGTTTCCCACCCCCAGCCTTCTGCAAGTAGCCAGGCTCAAGGGCACACGTGCCTGGTGTGTACAGGTCCTCTGGGGAACGGAACCCTCAGTCTTCTGTATGGTTCAAGCCCCACTGGAGCAACACATTACTCCTGCACAAACTGGCCCATAAATGCATTTTTGACTTAAGGTATTTCCAACTTCCAGCAGGTTTATTGATGTAACCCCATTATAACCTGAGGGTAGTCTAATTTTAATAGATTCCTTTCTGCATTTTCATATTTATGTTGTTGGCATGGTTGCAATCATAATAAATGTATAATTCTTATCATTTTATTTTTTCATTTAACATTGACTTTTACTAGCATTTCCCAAGGTACTGCAAATGGTTGTCTCTGTTGATAGCTGCATACACTCCAGAAATGGATATACTATTATTACGTAATCATTCCCCCATTCGAGTATATTTAAGTTATTTTTATACAGGGATTAGCAGATGACGTAATGGTTACATCGCTGGACTCCCACGTAGTCGACCGTGGTTCAAGCCCTTGATCCAGCAGCTTCAAACTCATGCTGAGTGTGTGCGCATGTGTGCCCCAAATCACAAGAGGAGAATGGAGGAGAAGGGATTGCGGCCTGGCCATCCCCCTTAGGGAGATGATTTCTCTCTTTCTGTCTGTCTCTCTGGTGAGCACACATGCACTATAGCAAAAATCCCTCAAAAAATTATTTTTTCTTACAATTTTAAGTAAATGACTTATCCTTACTTATGCTGCTCTCCCACATTTTAGAATATGCCCTTATTAGAGTCAAGCCTGTGGCCTATAGTCTTGTTTAAAGTCAAACTTGTGGTTTGGATTTAAGGGAAAAAAACAGTAAAGGGGAATGGGCAAGCTGAGCGAGATCTCTTTGATGAGTAGAGTCAGTTACTAACAAACAAGTGGTGCTCTACATTGCTAAAGATCAGCGTGAAGAGTTTGTGGGTAAGTGGTCTCGGCTCAGAGGAAGCCCCTTTCCGGGACAGGAAATGAGACCTTCCATGGCAGTGCCGTTCTTGTCTACTGGCCAGCTTGCCTGGGAAAATATGAAGGGGGGCAGCTGAAATGCACTTGAGTCACAGAAAATACATTTCATTACCCATGTGCACAGTCTTGGGATAATTATCCTCAACCCCATAAAAATTAAGAAAATGTTGAATTAGGCCACATGAGAGACATTCATGCTCTTCTCACCCCTTCATAGAACATGCTTCACATGTGATGGCCTATTCCTAGGACACGCTCCTTCCCACACCCCCACTCCCTGGGCCAGCTCCCTTCTAGGAAGTCTTTCTTTCACACCTTGGGAGACACTCCCCCACCCACCCTAAAGCCTGTCCAGCCCTCCTCACTTGCCCTTCCCTAGGCTACCCTTGCCCTGTGTTTCTCTCTTGCGGCAAGGTCACACCTCATTGCCACTGCTTGTTTATTTGTCACCATTCCCCGGAGCCCTGACAATTTGAGGGCTGCATCTGTGTCTTGATCACTCTGTATTCCAGTACCCAGACAGTACCTGGCATATAATGTCACCAAGTAAATCCTTGTAGAATTAAATAGACTAATCCTAAGATGCCTTGGTGTTAGTTCCAAAGGACTTCTTGCCACAGTACCAATAGTTCGATGGGGGATTTAGTTCAGCACCAAAAAAATAGGTAAATGTTTTTTAAAAGTCTGTGAGTGTATAGAAATATGTGTGTGTGTGTATGTATGGAGGTCTTTTAAAAGTTAATGAAAAATGTGTGTAATGAACAGATAATGTGTGGTTTTCAAAATTTGTTAAACTCATGTCTTGATTCTATTTTTTTTTTTTTTTTGAGTGAGATTTTTGCTATAGGGCATGTGCACTCACCAGAGTGACAGAGACAGAAAGCAAGAAATTACCCCCCCGCCCCCCCCGGGATGACCACACCACAATCCCTTCTCTTCCATTCTCCTCTCAGAATTTTGAGAGGTCACACGTACCCAGTGTGAGTTTTAAGCCGCCGGGTCCGAGAGTCAAACCACAGTCGACTACATGGGAGTCCAGCAACATAACCATTCTGCTATCTGCTGGTCCCTTGATTCTATGTTCTATGAACTTTTTGAAGTCCCTGTGTATGAGTGTGTTTATTTATTAAAGGGAAATTCTAAACTCAGTTGCAGAGTAGGCATCAGAAAAAATTGGAGAAATAAGGTTAAAACTATTGGACAAAAGCCAACTTTATTAAATAAACAAATCTTTCTCATCCACAAGTTCTGTTGTTTAAGATTAAATTCTTTTGGCAGAATCCTTTCTAAAAGCAGTCCCTATTTTCTAGCCCCTTTGGGCCCATCTCTAGGTTTTCAATAACATAAAACATTTGATGCCACACCCTTCTCTTTGATGTTCTGCCTTCATAGAGTGATCACCTTCAGAGTCATTTATGTTTTAGACAGCAAAATATCTTAAATACTGAAAGTATTGTTGTTGTTAAGAACAATGTCAGAATATTTGTAGGAAGCCCTGGACTAAGTGCTGTCTTCCTGATCTTTGGGCCTAGGATCACAGAGATGGGAAGGAATGGAAAAGCCGCCTACATTTAGCTAACAGGGTTTGTGAGATGTGAGGCGGTCTGGAAGAAGTGTTGATCTCCTGCAGAGAAGCAGATGAGTTTACGCAAGGATAGACAGACTAGAAGACATTGATAAGAAGCGGCAGAGGCAGGAGGTTCATTTTTTAGCCACTGTCTGTTAGGGTGAGAGAGTCGTGAAGGGCCACAGTTTGGCGCTTCAGGAGCTGGGAAACTTGGATGGTGTTGGACGCCTCGGTGGGCCTGGCATCAGCACTGACTCCCACACAGGTCAATGCGTTAGGAAGCCAAGTTTTGCTTCTGGGCCACCCCACAGTGCAGTAGTTAGGTGCTGCACAGAGAAGCCAGATCCCAACATGACTGACCAGGGTTTGAGGTCCAGCCCTGGGGGCTTAAAAACATACCTGGCCTGCCCAAGGTCCCTGACCGAATGGAGAAGTGGAGGAAGGATTGCGGAGTGATCAGGCTCCATGAGGGGTGCTCGCTCGCTCTCTCTCACACACACCCACATATGAACACACATACACATGAGTGCACATGCACTTGCAGACATGCACCCTGTAACATTAAAAAAGCAAAAAAAGAGAGAAGAAGGATTTGCTGCCATTCAAAAGGTTGCTGGTAATACGCGGCCGCATGGATAATTTCATGCAGTGGTATCAACCTGGCCCCTCAGAGCCTGGCATTGTCCCTTCTCTGTACTACAGAGAAAGAAACCCTAATCCTAACATTTAACGCTTATTCTGTAAAGCCCTCTGAGGTTACTGAGT